CTCTCTCTCTCTCTCTCTCTCTCTCTCTCTCTCTCTCTCTCTCTCTCTCTCTCTCTATCTATCTATCTATCTCTATCTATATATCTCTATCTATATATATCTATGGGTTTTTTTCCCTCCACATTAAGGAAAAGTCCTGAAGATACTCATTCTGAACAACTAAAAGAAAAAGAAAAACAAAGTTTTTTCAGGGCAATAAAAAAGAAAAAGAAGAAATCTCAGTCAGTAAGTAGCTCATGTTTTCTGTAACATTTTGCTTGACTACTTTAGTCTTCTGCAGGGAAGAACTTCCTTATTGAGGTATCAGCTACCAGATTTGGCAAATACAAAGGATTTGAAGATTATTGTGAAATTTCTGGACAATCCTACTTGCTGAGTTCCTAACATGAGAAATACATTTCTATGACCTCCTATGAATAAAATTAAATATTAAATAAATAATGAAGCAATTGATGTCAGATGATTTTCTTGGTAAATAGCTAGAAGCCAAATCAGAATTTGTGAGGCATTCCCAAGCAAATAGTAAGTAGATTCTGACAGTTCTGTAGTGCCAAATGAGGAGAGTATGAGGCTGATTGCTGTGTCAAACTCTTTGTGGTTGTAAAGGAAGTATTTGCCACTTTCCCCCCATTTCACCTCTCTGTACAGCCTACCGACTGCTGTCATTTGTTCAATTTTAGTTACTTACAGACCTCGATATCCCAAAAGTCTGGTAGCACTTTTTAAAACTAAGAAATGATACTACAAGATGTTAGCTTTCGTGAGCTATAGCTCACTTGATCAGAAACATGGGTTGGGTTAACTGATGTAGGGTTCAAATATATTAGTATAAGATTGGGAATTAAAGGGAGAGGAACTTATCTTTATTGTCATAAAGAATTTAAGAAACAAAAATGGCATACTGTAGCAATGAATAAAATTCTGAAAAGTTTTGGGATTTTGAATGAATTTAATAATATGTACTATCCGCTTGAAACAAGGAGCCTCTCTCCTTGAAAATTTAAACTATTATTTAAGAATGAAAACATTTGTATGATCCTTCCACCAGTTTACTTCATGTTAATATCCCTTCCTCTTTTCTCCATCCATGTAGGGGATAGGAAAGAATTGTGATTTTTGAGATGGGTGTCTCTATAAATTGATATAGATAAATAATAAGTAAATAATAAACAATTATTATACTAAGCAGAAGAACCATTTTAATCTATTATTTTAAATATATTGATTTACAATGAAGACTTGGAAATTAGAGATGAAGTACATCAGAATTTTTTATTGTCAGCAGATAAATCATTTAAGGATTCCTTAGTTTTGTTCCTATATAATTTAGTTACTGCATAGATTTTTCTGAAATTCTTGGTGTTTATTCCTACATAAGACCTATCTATTTAATAAGTTTTATTTTCTAATTAGCCTTTTGAAAAATATAGCTTTAAGTTTGCATTTCCATTGAGATAATGGTTTTATGAATCTACATTTTTTTAAAATTGCATGTATGTGGGGTTTTTGTGTTTCTCTCCAAGTTTGCTGAACCTTTAACAAAAATTATACAAAACCTATTTTGTTGAAGTAAAATGATACATATACACTTAATTGCCTATTTATGAAAATTTGGAATGTTTTGATAATAGTTATAGTCATAGTTCATATACAAAATTTAAACCACCCAAAGAAATGTATTCTATACTTACTAAATATATACATTTGATAGGCACATTCTTAAGGGACACGGTGGCTCTTGGCTAAGATGCTGAGTTTGTCGATCAGAAAGGTTGGCAGTTTGGCAGTTCAAATTCCTAGTGCTACTAACGGAGTGAGCTACCGTTATTTGTCCCAGCTTCTGCCAACCTAGAAATTCAAAAACATGTAAAAATGCAAGTAGAAAAATAGGGACCACCTTTGGTGGAAAGGTAACAGCATACTGTGCACCTTCAGCGTTTAGTCATGCTGGCCTCTTGACCACAGAGACATCTTCGGACAGCGCTGGCTCTTCGGCTTTGAAACAGAGATGAGCATGGCCCCCTAGAGTCAGGAACAACTAGCACATATGTGCGAGGGAAACATTTACCTTTAGACACATTCTTAAAGCATATTGTATGAGCATTTAAGCTTAGATTATTTCTTTCTTTTTCTTATTCAGCAGAGCAATTAGCCTTATCATGACATAATTATAAAATGTTAGATTAAACATCTGTGATCATTGAAGCTTTTGTATATAATTCAACAAATAAGAGACATGAGTAACTCTTCTGAATTAGAATTATTTCTGCAATTCGTTTTTATATCTTATATTACAGACAGAATCTACCAAGATGGAGAATCCAAGCATCAAGAAATCTCTTTTTCCACTTTTTATTTCAAAGAATCATTTAAAGCATAGCTCTTCTTTGAAAAAGAATCCTGTAGTCACTCTACCTATGGTATTAACTTTTTAAAAATGGTAGCACTGAAAAAACTTGCTACAGTAGATCTATTTTACTTACCACTATAGCGTGTATGTGTGTGTGTGTGTGTGTGTGTGTGTGTGTGTGTGTGTGTGTGNTTTATAAGGTCCATTCTATTAAGACCACCTAACCTGGCCAGCCACTGGTGGGTTTACCTGTGCACCCCCTCCTGCATCACCTGAGGTCATGAGTTAGAGGGACTGATGAGTCCTGCATATTATTTTCTTCTAATAACTGTTTTTTTTTCTTAATGCTGGTGATGTCTACTAGTGTTTTCCCTGTATGCTACTCATAGTCATTATAGAGTTTATTATAAAAATAATAAAATGAAATGAAATTGCATAATGCAATTTTCTTGTCTTCCTCCTTATCCATGATTTGTCTCTAAATCTACTCTAGAAATTTGGAGGACACAAGATGTTTCATTTATTTTACTTTAACAAATATCTGAAAATGTAATAAAGAAAAAAGGAGCAAAAAAAGAAATGGAAAAATGATTTGCAAGTATATAAAATAGAATAATAATGTTCAAAGTAAGATTATATTAGTACTCCATATAAACATGATATTATATCAGTTTGACACTTTGAAACTACCATTAAATCAAAATTATATAATTTTTAAAGACAGCTGATATGATAAAAATAATAAAAATGAAACATTAATAGGAATTTCTATTTGAATTGAAAGTCTGTCCTTTTTATAATTAGGCAAACATTTTATCAGAAAAATAAAAATAAAATATTTTAAAACCACATGTAAAGAGAAAGCCAAACTTCAGAAGTGATACAAGTCTGTGTGCAGAAATAGAATCCATAAATATTTTCAAGTTAAATTAAATTTAGTATCAGACTTGTTTTTTTAAATATGGGATATATTTGTCCATACCTTAATTTGTTATTCTTTTAAGAAAGAAGTTAATGTGTCATTCCAATAAGAAGCATACAACATCCTAGCAACTGTTATCGTAGCAAGAACTCTGCATACTTTATAGGCATATAAATCTTAATGTTTAACAGAAAGACAGCTGCCAAGAAAAAAAAGTTAATATTCAGAATTGTTTCACTTTGTGATGAAAGAAATCTCTGTGTTGAAATTTGAGCTTTATGACATTGCCCTTTAAGTACAGAATAATTATCCAACCCGATTATTGAATTTCTATTATGTTTTGAATTTGTCTTATCTATTTTGACAATTTTAAGCTTATTTACAACTTATTATTGAAATATAATTTAGAAAGTAAACAAATCAAAGGTTATGATTAAATGCATTTAGAATGTTAAACTATCATTAAGACAACTGTTTGACTTGGATTACAGGATGATTTATATTGCCACACATCTGAATTAATTTACTGGAGGAGCTGTATTCCCAGAAAGTTTGCATAAACATCTTTAGCTGGATACAAGCAAATGTCCAATCTATAAGTGACTACTCAATTTTAAATAGCATTTAAAAAGTATGGTATAAATATTATTGGGATCTTTTGGCATTCCAAACTGTTCATAAATTTGACCTATTTTCATTCAAATCTATCAAGCTGTACTTTTCCTTTTTTTAGATCTCACCTTTTTTTTAAAAAAAAGTCTATGTTCAGATAATCTCATTTCCTTGGTCTTATTAGAGAAAAAATGTTTTACTTATGATAGTCTCATGTATCTTCAATCTAAGCCTGTACCATTTTTATTGGTTATTTAATTCAGTGGCATTTATACTGGAAATATAATTAGTTTTATCATGCTCAATAAGAAGATATGGAGAAGAAATTCATTAAAAAAAATGAATTCTCAGAGATGAACAATTTTTTTTTTGGATAGCCTAGACTTATGAATTTTGCAATACTAAACAACACTGCTATTCTAGAAATGCTGCTTTCCACTGTGATGTATAGTACTGTGAATTGCATCAATTGATTGTTACTGAATTTATGGTAGCAGAAAGTTAGTCTCCACTTGGGAGTTCCCAGCTTTGATTGTGACAATATGTGTTTATTAAATGTATTATTCCTAAAAGAAAAGTAGCATTCTTAGCATGTAATACTCACATTCATAAATTGTGTTAAATTATTCTTTACTAGAATCATGGTTTGTTGAAACTGTAGTGAACTGATTCACAGTGTAAACTGTAAATCAATGTTTCTCAAACTTGGCAACTTTAAGGTATGTAGACTTCAACTCCCAGAATTCCCAAGCCAGATATGTTGTTGCAGTCAACATATTTTAAAGTTTGAGAAATACTTTTCTAAACTATAATGTATGAATCACAGTCACTGGGTTACATGTTACATTAAGCCAACATCAAACTCTGTTAATATTATAGTGTAATGTATGAACTCAGCTGTAAATGTTTGTTTCATTCTAAGAAAGAATTATTATTTTACCTATCGCCTTAAAGAACAGTATATTGGCATATTCTTGTTGGCTGATTAAGCATTCCTGTGCAGAAGTATAAGGAGATAGTCTTGAAGAAGATGTTCAACAGCTGTTAGTTAAACAGATTCTGTCTTTCTTTTGTATAAAAGGGAAATGAAAGAAATTCTATTAGGCTTTTCAAAAGTCTGTTATTATACCCTGCAACAATAAATTAGAATTCCAATTTCCCTTGAGTAATCTATTTTCTGACCCAGGCTAAAAGAGCTGGCAGTCTATGATCAAGCACTGTTGCCCAGTATTGTTGGTCAGCTGCATATACTGTAATTCTGAAAGAGTCACTAGAGTTACTTCTTCTCATTGTTTCACTAAAAAAGCAGACACTGAAAGAACTTACATCTGACTCTGGTAT